AGCTGTACATTTCAGGCATGATAAGCATATTTACATTGTTATTCAAAAAACATCTAGAAATTTTACCCATGTGAAACTAAATACACATTAAGTAACTAGTACTCATTTTACTCTCGTCAGCTTTTAACAAACACCCTTTTACTTTCTGTTTTTATTTAGTGTGACTACCTAAGATATGTCAAATAAGTTGAGTAATATGATATCCATAATTTTCATACTTGTTAATTTCAGGTGACATAATCTCAAAATTTATCTTAAAATTATTTTTTGATATATTTATCAATCAAGGAACATCTAAGTTTCTTCAGCCTTTTGGGTTTTGTGCCTCCTAATACAATAAATATGGATGTTCAAATATGTCATACAGGTCCTGCGTTTTCTGTCATGAATATAGATTCATAAATGAGATTTCCGTATTGATGATAATTTAATTTTTAATTATTTGAGAAAATAATATTTTAAATAATGGCTGCATACTTGTTTTCCACCACACAGATTTTTTTTTTTAATTGGGTCTTACTCTGTCACCTAGACTGGAGTGCAGTGACTCAATCTCAGCTCACAGCAGCCTCCATCTCCCAGGTTCAACCAATTCTCCTGCCTTAGCCTCTGGAGTAGCTGAAATTTACAGGCACCCACCACCATGCTTTGCTAATTTTTTTATTTTTAGTAGAGATGAGGTTATCCCATGTTCGCCAGTCTGGTCTTGAACTCCTGACCTAAGGTGATTTACCTGTCTCGCCCTCCCACAGTGCTGCGATTAAAGATGTGAGCCCTTGTACCTGACTGGTTTATTTTTATTGCATTATCCACAGATTTTGTGTTTTAAAAAAAATTTATAGTGGCTATTCTAAATAGGTGTGAGGTGATTTTGTTTTTCATCGCGATTTTTATGCATTTCTCTACAAATCGTAATTTTGTGTGTTTTCAAATACTTCTTCCCATTTGTGTATATTTCTGATAAAAATTTAGTTCAACTATTTGTCTGTTTCCAAATCAAGTTATTCAAGTTTATTGTTCCGTTTTAAGAGTTATTTATATATGCTGAATATCAATGAATAAATATCACATGGTATTTGCAAATACTTTCATTTTCTAGGAGGCATTGTCACTCTATCGAATGTTTTCTTTGATGTACAGAAATTTCGAGGTATAATATAGTTAAATTTTTTCTATTCTTTGTTGTTCATGCATTTAAGGTTGTATCTAAGAAAATGGTGCCAAGACCAATGTCATGTCTTTTTTTCATATTTCTTTTTTTTTTTTGTAATTTTTAGTAGAGACGGGGTTTCACCATGTTGACCAGGATGGTCTCGATCTGTTGACCTCGTGATCCACCCGCCTCGGCCTCCCAAAGTGCTGGGATTACAGGCTTGAGCCACCGCACCCGGCCTCATATTTCTTTTTAAAAGATTTGTTAGTTACGGGCCGGGCACGGTGGCTCATGCCTGTAATCCCAGCACTTTGGGAGGCTGAGGCGGGTGGATCACGAGGTCAAGAGATCGAGACCATCCTGGTCAACATGGTGAAACCCCGTCTCTACTAAAAATACGAAAAATTAGCTGGGCATGGTGGCGCACGCCTGTAATCCCAGCTACTCGGGAGGTTGAGGCAGGAGAATTGCCTGAACCCGGGAGGTGGAAGTTGCGGTGAGCCGAGATTGTGCCATTGCACTGCAGCCTGGGTAACAAGAGCCATACTCCATCTCAAAAAAAAAAAAGATTTGTTAGTTACTTCTTTTTGGCTATTTAAATTAATTGTGTATATATAATTTAAGGAAATGATCCAACTTTATTTTATTACTTTGATATCCACATTTCAACATTATTTTTTGAAGACTTGTTTTTCTATTTTTGCTCTTGGCAACTTTGTGGAAGATCATTTGATCATAAACAGAAGGGTTCATTTTAGGGCTCTTTATTCTGTTTATTCATCGGCTTATCTGTCTTTGTGTCAATTCCACATTGTTGTTTATGCTTTGAAATTAGAAAGTATAATACCTCTTCATTGTTTTTATACTTGTTTGGCTGTAGTTTTTAATCAAATTTAAAATTGTGAAGAATATTTCTGTAAAAACTTGTACTATTGAATTTTTTGTAGAGATAATATTGAATTAGTTCATCACTGTAGCTTGTATGGACAACTTTGCAAAAATTAAATTCTTTGATCCTTAAGCAAGAATATGTTGAGGCCGGGCGCAGTGGCTCACATCTGTAATCTCAGCACTTTGGGAGGCTGAGGTGGGCAGATCACCTGAGGTCAGGAGTTCAAGACCAGCCTGACCAGCATGGAGAAACCCCATCTCTACTAAAAATACAAAAAATTAGCTGGGCATGGTGGTGCATGGCTGTAATCCTAGCTACTTGGGAGGCCAAGAGGGGAGAATGGCTTGAACCTGGGAGACGGAGGTTGTGGTGAGCCAAGACTGTGCCATTGCACTCAAGCCTGAGCAACAAGAGCGAAACTGTGTCTTTAAAAAAAAAAAAAAGAATTTGTTGAAAAGTATGGGTTTTTTTTTTTTGAGATGGATTCTCGCTGTTGTTACCCAGACTGGAGTGCAATGGCACAATCTCGGCTCACCGCATCCTCCACCTCCTGGGTTCAAGCAATTCTCCTGCCTCAGCCTCCCGAGTAGCTGGGACTACAGTCACGCACCACCATGCCCAGCTAATTTTTGTATTTTTAGTAGAGACGGGGTTTCATCTTGTTGACCAGGATGGTGTCAATCTCGACCTTGTGATCCACCCGCCCTGGCCTCCCAAAGTGCTGGGATTAAAGGCGTGAGCCACCGTGCCTGGCCAAAAAGTGTGTTTTATTTTCATATTATTTTAGTTTTGCTTCTAATTTCTAGTTTTATGCAATGTTGGTCAGAAAACACAGTGAATAATTTTTGCCTTCTTACATTTATTGGTTGTAGTTGTTTTGAGACAGGATCTTGCTCTGTTGCCCATACTGAAGTGCAGTGGCATGATTTTGGCTCACTGTAGCCTCAAATTCCTGGGCTCAAGTGATCCTTCAGCCTCAGCCCCTCAAGTAGCTGGGTGTACAGACATGCACTGCCATTCCTGATTAATTTTTTTTTAAATTATTTGTTGAGACAGGGCCCCAATGTGTTGCCCTGGCTGGTTTCAAACTTCTGGCCCCAAGTGATCCTCCTACCTTTGTTTCCCAAATTTTGGGATTATAGCTATAAACCACTGTACCCAGCTGGTATTCTTAAATTTAATAAAACTTGGTATTCATCCTAATAGAATACACAAAATGCAAATAAGAATATTGTATAGTCTCTTGCTTTTTACTAGAAAGGTTTGTATGAGTCTGTTAAGTATACTTTGTGATATGGTTTGAATATCCATGTTTCTAAACCTCATGCTACAACGTAATCTTTAGTGTTGAATGTAGGACTTGGAAAGAGGTGTTTTTGTCATGGGAGTGAATTCTTCATGAATGACTTGGCACCATTCCTGAAGATAAAAGTAATAAAAAAACTTTTAAAAATAATAAATTTTAATAAAAAAGTTTACCCTCGGCTGGGCATGGTGGCTCATGTTTGTAATCCCAGAACTTTGGGAGGCCAAGGTGGGCAGATCACCTGAGATCAGGAGTTTGGACCAACCTTGCCAACATAGTAAAACCCTATCTCTACTAAAATAAAAAAAGTTAGCTTGGTGTGGTGGCATGTACCTGTAGTCCCAGCTACCTGGGAGGCTAAGGCAGGAGAATCGCTTGAACCTGAGAGGCAGAGGTTGCAGTGAGCTGAGATCACATCACTGGCACCGCAGCCTGGATGACAAAACGAGACTTCATCTGAAAAAGAAAAAATAAAACAGTTTACACTCAAGACTGTTGGTTCATTAAAAGAACCTGGCTTCGGTCCAGGCACGGTGGTTTATGCCTGTAATCCCAACACTTTGGGAGGCTGAGGCGGGTGGATCACGAGGTCAAGAGATTGAGACCATCCTGGTCAACATGGTGAAACCCTGTCTCTACTAAAAATACAAAAAGTTAGCTGGGCATGGTGGCGCACATCTGTAATCCCGGCTACTCAGGAGGCTGAGGCAGGAGAATTGCCAGAATCCAGGAGGCGGAGGTTGTGGTGAGTGGAGATCTCGCCATTGCACTCCAGCCTGGGTAACGAGCGAAACTCCGTCTCAAAAAAAAAAAAGACCCTGGCTTTTTCACCTCACACTTTCTCTATTACCATGTGATATTTCCACTCTTTTTCAGTAAGCTTCCTGAGACCCTCACCAGAAGCAGATGCTGGCACACACTTCTTGTACAATCTGCCAAATTGTGAGCAAAATAAACCTTTTTTCTTTTTTTTTTTTTTGAGACAGAGTTTCGCTGTTGTTATCCAGACTGGAGTGCAATGGCACGATCTCAGCTCACCACAACCTCTGCCTCCTGGGTTCAAGCAATTCTCCTGCCTCAGCCTCCCGAGTAGCTGGGACTATAGGCATGCACCACCATGCCCAGCTAATTTTTGTATTTTTAGTCGAGACGGGATTTCACCTTGTTGACCAGGATGGTCTCGATCTCTTGACCTCGTGATCCATTCGCCTCAGCCTTCCAAAGTGCTGGGATTATAGGCGTGAGCCACCGTGCCCGGCTCCTTTTTTCTTAATAGATTATCCACTCTCAGGTATTTCCCTATATGCAAAATAATTGGAGTTGGCAATTTACTTCTAAAGGCAGTATATTATGTTGGAGAGCAGAAAAAACTGTTTTGGGTAAATGTAACCAATTTATCTTTCCTTTTCATGTGGCTCTTTGTGTTGGGCTCACCTGGGGCACGTCGCTGATTTATACATTTTTCGCCAGTGCATTTTGATTAGTATGTTATTGTTACATTTATATGCCTATATATAAATAAGGACCTGTGGTATTTTTCTGTACCATCTTGCTTATGTACCTTGTATAATTTTATATGTTAAATATACTAAGTATATTTATTACTGAGTCTAGCAAGTGCAATAATTCATTATTTTTATTTTTTTCAGTTATGTGTTCTCATTTTGCCCACGACTTTTGGCCAGAGCAACATCTAAAAGATCCTTTCCAAAAAGTGACACTGAGAAGATATAAAAATGGTGAACATAAAAATTTACATTTAAAAAAAGACTGTAAAAGTATGGATGAGTGTAAGGTGCACAGAGAAGGTTGTAATGGATTTAACCAATGTTTGCCACCTACCCAGAGAAAAACATTTCTATTTGATAAATGTGTGAAAGCCTTTCATAAATTTTCAAATTCAAATAGACATAAGATAAGCCATACTGAAAAAAAGCTTTTCAAATGTAAAGAATGTGGCAAATCATTCTGCATGCTTTCACATCTAACTCAACATAAAATAATTCATACCAGAGTGAATTTCTGCAAATGTGAAAAATGTGGAAAAGCCTTTAAGTGGCCTTCAATCATCGCTAAACATAAGAGAATTTGTAGTGCAGAGAAACCCTTCACATGTGATAAATGTGGAAAAGCCTTGAATGGGTCCTCACGCCTTACTATACATAAAAAGATTGATACTGGACACAAACTCTACAAATGTGAAGAATGTGGCAAAGCCTTTAATTGGCCCTCAACTCTTACTAAGCATAAGAGAATTCATACTGGAGAGAAACCCTACACATGTGAAGAATGTGGCAAAGCCTTTAACCAGTTCTCAAACCTTACTACACATAAGAGAATCCATACTGCAGAGAAATTCTACAAATGTACAGAATGTGATGAAGCTTTTAGCCGGTCCTCAAACCTTACTAAACATAAGAAAATTCATACTGAAAAGAAACCTTACAAATGTGAAGAATGTGGCAAAGCTTTTAAGTGGTCCTCAAAGCTTACTGAACATAAGTTAACTCATACTGGAGAGAAACCCTACAAATGTGAAGAATGTGGCAAAGCCTTTAACTGGCCCTCAACCCTTACTAAACATAACAGAATTCATACTGGAGAGAAACCCTACAAATGTGAAGAATGTGGCAAGGCCTTTAATCAGTTCTCAAACCTTACTACACATAAAAGAATTCATACTGCAGAGAAACCCTACAAATGTGAAGAATGTGGCAAAGCTTTTAGCCGGTCCTCAAACCTTAGTAAACATAAGAAAATTCACATTGAAAAGAAACCCTACAAATGTGAAGAATGTGGCAAAGCTTTTAAGTGGTCCTCAAAGCTTACTGAACATAAGATAACTCATACTGGGGAGAAACCCTACAAATGTGAAGAATGTGGCAAAGCTTTTAACCATTTCTCAATTCTTACCAAACATAAGAGAATTCATACTGGAGAGAAACCCTACAAGTGTGAAGAATGTGGCAAAGCTTTTACCCAGTCCTCAAACCTAACTACACATAAGAAAATTCATACTGGAGAGAAATTATACAAATGTGAAGAATGTGGCAAAGCTTTTACGCAATCTTCAAACCTTACTACACATAAAAAAATTCATACTGGAGGAAAACCCTACAAATGTGAAGAATGTGGCAAAGCTTTTAACCAGTTCTCAACTCTTAGTAAACATAAGATAATTCACACTGAAGAGAAACCCTACAAATGTGAAAAATGTGGCAAAGCCTTTAAATGGTCCTCAACCCTTACTAAACATAAGAAGATTCATACTGGAGAGAAACCCTACAAATGTGAAGAATGTGGGAAAGCTTTTAAACTATCCTCAACCCTTTCTACACATAAGATTATTCATACTGGAGAGAAACCCTTCAAATGTGAAAAATGTGGTAAAGCTTTTAACCGATCATCAAACCTTATTGAACATAAGAAAATTCATACTGGAGACCAACCCTACAAATGCGAACAGTGTGGCAAAGCATTTAACTATTCCTCACACCTTAATACGCATAAGAGAATTCATACTAAAGAGCAACCCTACAAATGTAAAGAATGTGGCAAAGCTTTCAACCAATATTCAAACCTTACTACACATAACAGAATTCATACTGGAGAGAAACTCAACAAACCCGAAGCTGTGACAGGGATTTCAACAACACCACAAACTTTATAAAACATAAATTATACTGGTGAGAAATCCTAGAAATGTAAAGAATGTGACAAAGCCTTTAAATGGTTGTCACACTTGATTGTAGGTAAGGTCATTTATATTGGAGTAAACAACTACAAGTATGAAGAATGTGGCAAAACTTTTAATTCTCATACCTTATTGCATGGGAAATAATTTTTATTTCAGAAACGGTGTACACACAAAAGAATGGGAAAACCATTAATATCTGCTCATATCTTACTCAACATTAGAGTCTGCACTTAATAAAACCATTATAAATGCAATTAGTGTCAAAAACTTTCAGAAAATAATAGGCCTTTAAAGTGAAGAAGAGTATCCTGAAGACAAACATTACAAATACAAAGAGGGTTATAGTACCATTATTTGTATCACAGATCTGACCCACAGTTTTTACTAGAGAAAACCCTGAAGCAGTTGCTTAAATATTGTTCAACATCAGAAAATTTATGTTGGAGGAAACTCCTGGAAATGTAACAAATTTATAAAAACAGTTTTGAAAACCTACAGCTTATAAAAAGAGTCTGTAATACTTGGTGTATGTTACAAACTTTGTTCAATATAAGGGAATTTATATTACAGAGAAACCCTACCAGTGTAATAAGTTTGGAAAAACATCTTTCAAAAACCACAGCATAAAAAATACCAGAGGGTTCATACTAAAACGTATTGTAGCTGCAGTAAATATGAAAAAACATTAATCCAAAATTTATGTAAATGTCAGAGAATTCACAGTAGAGATACCTAATTCACTGACACTTCAGACATTACACTAAATCAGTGCTGAGTATAGAAAACAATCCAAACTAAAAATTGATGGATAAATTATTTGTATATAACATTAAAAGAAATAGAACCTTTTCAGAGTTATAATTACATTAAAAGTATGGTTTTATCTTGAAAAAAAATTACAGATTTTTAAATTAGTGAATAATAAAACGCAACTTGATGCTGTTTCTTCATTCCTCCTGTATTCACATGTGAAAGCATGCGACCAGTTGTTGCTGCATCAAAGATGAGAGATTATTAGGTGGGCATTATGTAAAATATTTTTTATGGAATAGTAAGGATATTAAAATGTAAGATGCAGCTGGGCACAGTGGCTCACGCTTGTAATTCCAACACTTTGGGAGGCTGAGGCCGGTGGATCACCTGAGGTTAGGAGTTTGACACCAGCCTCACCAACATGGCAAAACCCTGTCTCTACTAAAAATAAAAAAAATTGGCCAGGTGTGGTGGCACATCCCTGTAATCCCAGCTACTTGGGAGGCTGAAACGGAAATCACTTGAACCTGAAAGTCAGAGGTGACAGCCTAAATCATACCATTGCACTTCAACCTGGCCAACAAAAGTAAAACTCAGTCTCAAAAAAAATGTAAGATGCGTGATGAAAAGGTAATTGGAGAGACTCTTTTTTGGGTAACTTATAGTGATGCATGAGGTAGGTTTTCAGAGTAATATTCTGCATTATAGTGAGAAAACATTTTAGTTAAATTAGTATATATCATTTAATGTAATTGTATGTAATTAAATGAAGTACATTTTTATATTTTTAGACTACATGTAAATGTAACTTTTTAATTTAGTAAGACCCTTGTGCATTAATGAAGCATCACTATGCTGCTAACTTTAACGTATTCCACCTTACTCAAGGGTGTATGTAAAAGATGGTAACAATATACTATTTGGTAACCTGATGGACTAACGTTTCTAGTAATCTCTTTCACCAGTGGCTTTCATCTGCCAATGAGTTAAAAAATGTTTCCATAGGTTAAAATTTTTTTGTCTTATTTAAACTTACTGTTCTTAATTTCTGTGGGTACACAGTATGTGTATATGCTTATGCAATATATGACATATTTTCACACAGGCATATAATATGTATTAGTCACATCAGGATAAATAAAATTCCATTACCTTCAGCCTTTATCCTTTGTATTACAAGCCAGTTTTACACTTTTCATTATTTCAATGTACAATTGTTATTAACTAAAGGGTCGTTTTAATTGTACAAATTATATAGAAGAATAATATCCATACATTTCTGTCATGAATAAACATGAAAAATTGTTATATATATTTATTTGAACATGTGGCTGCTCTGCCTCCAAATACAGAGTTTAGTTTTTATTTACATAGAGTTAAATGTACACATACTTTAAAGATAAACATTAAGTGTAAGAAAATTATGGAGCATCCGAGTCACGACACCAAAAAAAAAAATTATGGAGCAAGTAACTTTTTTTTTTCTTTTATACTTTAAGAGATATTCATTATGTGAGCTGAATAGGGTGGATTATAAGAATAATTTTTGTGAAATTTAGTTAGGCCAGGCGTGGTAGATCACGCCTATAATCCCAGTACTTTGGGAGGCTGAGGCGGGTGGATCACGAGGTCAAGAGATCGAGGCCATCCTGGTCAACAAGGTGAAACCCCATCTCTACTAAATATACAAAAATTAGCTGGGCATGGTGGTGCGCACCTGTAGTCCCAGCTACTCAGGAAGCTGAGGCAGGAAAATTGCTTGAACCCAAGAGGCGGAGGTTGCAGTGAGCCGAGATCGCGCCATGGCACTCCAGCCTGGGTAACGAGTGAAACTCCGTCTCAAAAAAAAAAAAAAGGCCAATAGCGGTGGCTCACGCCTGTAATCCCAGCACTTCGGGAGGCCAAGGCGGGTGGATCAGGAGGTCAAGAGATCCAGACCATCCTGGTCAACATGGTGAAACCCCGTCTCTACTAAAAATACAAAAAAATTAGCTGGGCATGGTGGCGCGTGCCTGTAATCCCAGCTACTCAGGAGGCTGAGGCAGGAGAATCGCCTGAACCCAGGAGGCGGAGGTTGCGGTGAGCCGAGATTGCGCCATTGCACTCCAGCCTGGGTAACAAGAGCGAAACTCCGTCTCAAAAAAAAAAAAAAAATTTAGTTGTGCACACGAAATAATTTTTAGATGCAATTCATGTTTTAAGTTATATCTTAATTAGTTAGAACATTCTATTTTGTTCCTTTAATTGGAGAAGTCTATATAAACCTACTTTTCTTTAGTTATTGTTCATTTCACTTTCTATAATTGACATGTAAATATATTTATTTATTGAGCTAATTAGTTCAGGTAGGTACTAGGGAGGCTTCAGAAATTATGAGGATTTGTTTTTTGTTTTTTTATGAGATGGAGTCTCCCCCTGTCGCCCAGGCTGGAGTGCAGTGCTGCAATCTCAGCTCTGCAACCTCTGCCTCCCGGGTTCAAAGGATTCTCCTGCCTCAGCCTCACAAGTAGCTGGAACTAAAGGCACATTCCATCACGGCTGGCTAAATGTTTTTGTATTTCTAGTACAGACGGGGTTTCACCATGTTGGCCAGGATGGTCTCAATCTCTTGACCTGCTGATCTGCCTGCCTCTGCCTCCCAAAGTGCTGGGATTACTGCCATGAGCCACAGTGCTCACCTTATGAAGATGTTTTTATACATAAATGTAGCAAACAAGCGTGACAATGCTTGCTGTGTAACAGATTGTCCATAATAAGCCAAAAATATTTCTGCTGGAGTTAGTTTGTAACTTCAAGTCAGAAATGGAAAATATCAATGATGAAGAAATAATTCTGATTCTTATCTGGAGAGGACGTTTTCCCAAAACTGGGAAACTGACTCTTGCTGAATTTAAAGATACATTCTGCTTATTTCCTAAATATCTTGTTTTGTTTGTCTCATGTATTCCAATTATGTATGCATTACAGCCCTTCTCCTTTATTAGTTTGATGCCTACGGTTTTCTCACTGTTACATTCATGCCATGTCATTTCACATGGTACTTTGTAGGTTTTGATGAGAAAATTGGTATTTTTAATTCTCTGAAAAATATTTAAACATCTTTTATGAATATAACTTTCAGATCAGCTAATTAAATAAAAGGCATATGCTATCCACAGGTAAGAGGACAAAATTAGCATTTTCTCTGTTTGTAAAACAAACACCTTATACTTAGACACAGTGTGACAAATACAAAATGCTAGAAAATATTTAAAAATTTTTAGAGCTCATGGTAAATGAATAATTATATATATATATATATATATATATATATATATATATTTTTTTTTTTTTTTTTTTTTTTTTTGAGACGGAGTTTCGCTCTTGTTACCCAGGCTGGAGTGCAATGGTGCGATCTCGGCTCACCGCAACCTCCGCCTCCTCGGTTCAAGCAATTCTCCTGCCTCAGCCTCCTGAGTAGCTGCGATTACAGGCACACGCCACCACGCCGAGCTAATTTTTTGTATTTTTAGTAGAGACAGCTTTTCACCATGTTGACCAGGATGGTCTCGATCTTTTGACCTCGTGATTCACCCTCCTCGACCTCCCAAAGTGCTGGGATTACAGGCTTGAGCCACCGTGCCCGGCCTCAATAATTTTAAATTAAATGTTCTGGCGGGGTGCGGTGGCTCATGCCTGTATTCCCAGTGCTTTGGGAGGCTGAAGGCAGGTGGATCATTTGAGGACAGGAGTTTGAGACCAGCCTGGCCAACATGGTGAAACCCAGTCTCTATGAAAAATACAAAAATTAGGTGGGTGTGGTAGTGGGCACCTATAAATCCAGCTACTCAGTAGGCTGAGGGAAGAGAATTACTTGAACCCAAGAGGTGGAGGTTGCAGTGAGCCAAGATCATGCCATTGCAGTCCAGCCTGGGTGACAAGCAAAACTCCATCTCAAAAAATAAAAAATTCTACAATATAGCACAAAGTACACTTTTCCATGAAGTCTTCTACTATTTTTAAATCTGAGTGTTATATGTTGCAAAAAAAAATTTACAAGTTGGAGGAATTTTTTTTTTTTTTTTTTGAGATGTAATCTTGGGTCTGTTGCCCAGGCTGGAATGCAGTGGTGCAATATTAGCTTACTGCAATCTCCACCTCCTGG